CTCTAGATCTACTTAAGTGAACTGAGGTAGTAGCCCCTTGAATGCCTTGCACCTTGTATTGCCAAGACCAGGTGCTTGGCCTTTTAGAGGTCCCTCTCAAATACCTCCATGTCCCTGTTGTTAAATATGGTGGCTTGGTCACCAAAAGTTGTCCTGGATTGGCTGGGGTTCCTGGTGCCATTTTTCGTCATTTTCTGTGAATGTCTGGGGCAGTTAGCAATAAAATGGGAATTAGTAACAATATTGGCTCCAGGGGAGCCGGGCTTTCGGTTATTGTCTCTTTGGACAGCTTCTGCAGCCCCACCTCTAAACACAGATGGGCTCTCCTCTTTCTGAGAGTCACTTCAGTTATCTTAGTGAAGTTAACAAGTGTAACCTCATCCCTCCAACTAGACAAACCATCACATGGTTCTTAGGGCCTCTCCACATTAACCCTGCTTGTAATTCCAGCTTGGGTCTTGTGAGGGGGCTATGGCATCACACGAGAACTGGTCAGGATGCAAGGCATGTGAGCGGTCCTCATAATTCTGCTTTGTCTCCCAAATATAATTTTCCTCATCTGGGTTTCAGCAATGGGACAAAAGTCCCCACATATCTCTCGACGCTAGTTCAAACACCTGGGTAGTATGTTCAGACTCCTCTTAATGGCCTTAGAGGGATCTGCTGAGAAACTTTGTAGTTTATCCTTGAAGACTTTTAGGTTTTGTGTTCTAGCCTCCAGATGCAATTTTGTTGTTGTTGTTGTTGTTTTTAAAGAAAGCTAAAGAGCCTTTCCAGCAGTGATGTCCGCATGCCAACATGCCTCTCGCAAAGGATCTCCTCCATCCCTGTCCAGAAGAGAAGAGGAAACACAAGAAGAAGCGCCTGGTGCAGAGCCCGAATTCCTATTTCATGGATGTGAAATGTCCAGGATGCTATAAAACCACGGTCTTCAGCTGTGCACAAACAGTAGTTTTGTGTGTTGGCTGCTCCACTGTTTTCTGTCAGCCTACAGGAGGGAAAGCAAGGCTTATAGATGGATGCTCTTTCAGACGGAAGCAGCGTTAAGGAAAAAAAATCAAGATGGAAATTATCTCAATAAACAGAATTTTGGATATAAACACACACACACACACACACACACACACACACACACACACACATAAAGCTAAAGAAACTTTCTTAAGGGGGCTCCCAGGCAGGATTCCCTGGTCTGGAGAAAGAGAGAGACAGACCAGGGAATGCCACTACCAGCTGCAATCTTAAAGGTGGAGGGGCAACGCAGGAAAGGAAGACCCCAGAGAAGATGGATTGACATAGTAACTGGGTTCATGGGGTTAAGTGTGTTAGAGACAGTAGACTGGCCCAGGACAGGACAGGGTTCAGAGCGATTATATATAAGGTTGCCATGACTCTCAAGGAACTCGATGGCACATAACAACAACAACATGGGTAAAATGCTGAATAATGGGGGAAACATCAAAAGAAGATAAAAGGAATACACAGAATTACTGTACCAAAGAGAATTGGCTGACAAGGAAATATATCAGGAAGTAGCATCTGATTAAGGGTCAATTGTAATGAAGGAAGAAGCCTAACCTGCAAAGAAAGTACTGGTAAAAAAAAAAGGCTTCAGGAATTGATGGAATACCAATGGGTATGTTTCAGCTGACAGACGCGGCTCTGGATGTGCTCACCAGCCTGGAAATTTGGAAGACAGAAATCTGGCCAACTGACTGAAGGAGACATATATGTCAACATTCCTAAGAAAGGTGATCCCATGGAATGTGGAAATTACCAGACAATATCATTACTGTCACATGCAAGCAAAAACTGCTGCAGATCATAAAATTAAAAAAAAAAAAAAGAGCAGAGACCTGCCAGAAGTTCAGGCTGGATTTAGAAGAGGCAGCAGAAAAACATAGCTGTTTTCAGATGGATCTTAGCAGGAAGCAGAGAACACCAGAAGAATGTCTATTTATGTTGTAGTGACCATGCAAAGGCATTTGACTGTGTAGATCATAATAAACTAGGGTTAACCTTGAGAAGAATGAGATTCCCAGAACATTTAATTATGCTCATGTAAAACCTATATATTTAATTGCATTCATATGACACCAAGAAGGTGTTATCTGAAAAACAGCAAGAGAACACTGAATGATTTAAAATCAAGAAAGGACTGCATCAGGGATGTATCCTTTCTCCATACCTAATCATTCCACATGATGAACAAATCATTCAAGAAGCTGGACTCCACAAAGAAGAATGTGGCATCAGGATATGAGGAAGACTCAACAACAACCTGCGTTATGCAGGTGACACAATCTTGTTTGCTGAAAGTTGAGTGAGACTTGAAATACTTGCTGCAGAGGATCAAATATCACCACCTTCAATATGGATTGCATCTTAATATCAAGACAACACCTCTGAATTGATAAGCAACATTGTGATAGATGGAGAAAAGATTGAAGCTGTCAATGATTTCTTCTTACAATGATTTCTTTTTTGTCACCAGCCCTTAAGAAATCAAAAGATGTGTTGCAATGGGCAAGTCTGTCATCAGGGACTTCTCCAAATTACGGAGGAGCAGTGGGGTCAGTTTAAAAACCAAAGGATGGAAGTGCAGCAATGAATGAATGGAAATAAAAAATATGTGTAAATGCTCATTAAAATTATTTAAAAAAAATAAAAACCAAAGGATGCTCAATTCAGGCCATGGTCTTTTCTTTCACTTGTTGTGCATCTGAGAGCTGAGCAATGAAGGGTGACAGAAGAATCCATGCCTTTGAGCTGCGATGTTAGGGAAGAGCACTGAACATCTCCAGGACTGCCGAAAGAACAGACATGTCTTGGAAAAGCCAGACTGGTCCTTAGAGGTAAAGATGAAAGAGCTTTTTCTCACATGCTTTGGGTATATTGTTGAGTACCATCAAGTTGGAGCCGACCAATAGCTGACCCTTCACTGGGTTTTCAGAGGCAGTGAATTACAGAGGAGGAAACTACTCTTACTTTTCCCTCAGAGCAGCTGGTGGATTCAAACCATGTACCTTTGGGTTTATAGTGCAGTTTCTTGTCACTGGGAGGGTCTATTCCTTGGAAAGGGTCAACATGCTTGGAAAGATGGAGAGTCAGTGAAAGAAAGGAAGGCTTTTAACGAGATGAACCGACACACAGCAATGGGCTCAAATGTGTCAGAGATTTTGAAAATGTAGCTCTCACAGGTTCGCTATGAGTGATACTTGACTTGATGCACCTAACAACAACAAGAGTATCTTGACCATTCTAGGACTCCTTCCAGGCCTTTCAGCTATTTTCTGTAAAAACAAAAAGTTGGATGATGAAGGCTGACTACAAGCTCTGGATACTGGTTTATAGGCAGAGAGGATACAACTCTGGCCCCTTGGGGGCCATGGACTTTCCCCAGTATTGGTGGGGGTGCATGGGATAGCACAGAGTCTTTAAGAGGTGCTTCTGAAGGTGTGTTTGAATGAGACGTGTTGCTTCCAGGTCTGTTAGCTGATGGGACCCCTCTGTTTAACGGACATCACTGCATTTCTTGCTCAGCTGGAGATTTTCTTTAAGATACAAGCATGGTTGAAAGAGTCAGAAGAGCATTTTCCCTCCTCAGGGCAGAAGACATTCAGCTGAAGAGCACTTTTGTCCTGGGAGACCATCCTAGACCCTGCTATTGGAGACTAAACCCATCACCCAGACTCTAGGCCGGCACCTTCAGAAACTCACATCAAAGACATTGCCTTCATAGACCCAAGACCTTGCTCCCAGGCACCACTAATCAAGCTCTTTCAACACCACAGTCCTGAGATTTCCTTCTCTAGAATTTGGGTTGAAGCTCAACATCAAGAAGACAAAGATTCTCACCACTGGGCTGATTGGCAGCATCGTGATAGACAGTGAAGAGATTGAGATTGTTAACAGCTTCAGTTTGCTTGACTCCACAATCAACACCCTTGGTATTGGGAGCCAGGAAATCAAAAGGTGAATTGCATTGGGAAAGTTGGCTCTCAGGGTCCTCTCCAGAGTTCTGAAGAGCAACGATGTCAGTCTGGAGACTAGGTGTGTCTGATCCAGACCATGGCCTTTGCAATTGTGTGCCATGCTTCAGAGAGCTGGACAATGACAAGGGAGGATAGAAGGAGAATGGATGCCTTTGAGCTGTGATGCTGGAGAAGAGTATTGGATAGACCATGAACTGCTAGAACAAACAAGTTCATTCTCGAGACGGTGAAGGCAGGCTGTTCCTTGGAGGCAAGGATTCTGAAGCTCTGACACTTTAGACATGTTGCAAAGGGGGACCAGTCCTAGGAAAGGGACATTACACTTGGGAGGGTGGAGGGACAGCCAAGCCAAGAGAGGATGGGTTGACACAGTGACTGGTGTAATGGGGGGAGGAGTGTCAGAAACAGTAACGGTGGATCAGGATAGAGCAGGGTTCAGAGCCCTTGTTCATGGGGTCACTATGAGTTGCAAGTGACTCGACGGCTCCTAACAGCCCGTGCTGGCCAGTCCTCACTCCCTGCTCTGTCCATTCCTCTGTTAAGCTTCTCTGCAGCATAGCCCCCCGGCACTCCGCGGGTGCCAAGTTCCTCGCCAGCTGCTCCGCACTGCATCAACTCCCTCTGCCGCGGTGAGTGTGTGGGCGAGCTCTGCGTGCAGGGGCCCTGGCCCGCCGGGCCACCAACACCAGCCCCTGGCTTCCCGTGCAGCCCTTCCCCCCACACTGGTCCTAGAGGGCTGCAGGCCGTCCCGACGCCTCTGGTCAGCAGGGACTCGGTCACGGACGGCGCCCCAGTGGCCAGGTCTCGTCCCGCCCGGGCTCCGGCTTCCCCAGCGCAGCTCCGCGGGCCGGCAGGTCCTGCTCCCCGGGGCCCGGGGCGGGGCGAGCGCGGCTGGAGGTCCAGGAAGGCGGAAGTCCGGCCCCGGCCGACGGCGAGGGCGGTGCCTGCGGACTGACCGGCCACGCCGCCAGCGGGCCCTGGCCGAGCTCGTCGCTTGCCGCGGCCATGGGCACCGCGCTGGTGTACCACGAGGACATGGCGATGGCCCGGCTCTTGTGGGACGAGTAAGTGTGACCTGGCAGGGGTGGAGGGCGAGGGGGCCCCTGGACACTGAGCCCCAACCCCCTCAGCCCCGAGTGTGAGATCGAGTGTCCCGAACGGCTGACCACGGCCCTGGAGCGTCTTCGGCAGCGTGGTCTCGAGCAGAGGTGCCTGCGGCTGGAGGCGCGCGAAGCCACGGAGGCGGAGCTGGGCCTGGTGCACAGGTCAGACCCCTGGGGGCACCTTGAGGCTGGACGCTCAGTGGCCAGTCCACAGCGGGCACTGGGGCCTGGCCTCCATAGAGCCGGAGACCATCGAAGGCAGTACCTCCCGCCTGGTCACCCTGCAGAGACAAGTGCAGAGACACTGGTGCAGGGACACCTGTGGGTGACCAAGGGCTCGAGGGAGAAAGGGAGGGGAGTCTCCGATGCTGCACTAGCTTGCCCTGGTCCAGCGATGACCCTGCCTCACCTGCTACTATCTGCAGCCCGGACTATGTTGCTGTGGTGCGGGGCACTCAGGCCCTGGACACAACGGAGCTCCGGGCGCTGTCAGGACAGTACGACGCAGTGTACTTCCACCCGGTATGAGCCCCTGGGGACCCTGCTCCCAGACATTCTAGTCCCTCAAGCTCCAGCATAGCCCCTTGGCTCCTGCTTGCACAGTGACCCCAACACCCAGCTAGAAGCCATGGCATCAGAGCGGGCAGGGAGCTGAGTGGGCACCTCTGCCCCACAGAGCACCTTCCACTGTGCCCGGCTGGCGGTGGGCGCTGTGCTGCAGCTGGTGGATGCTGTGCTGACCGGGGCCGCACACAATGGACTTGCTCTTGTGAGGTAAGGGGTTCAGCCTTCTGCCTGGTCACTCACATGCAGAGCCCAGGATGAACCCGAGCCTCCCCTGCCCCAGGCCTCCAGGTCACCACAGTCAGCAGGCAGTGGCCAACGGGTTCTGTGTGTTCAACAACGTGGCCATAGCAGCTGAACATGCCAGGCGGAAATACGGGCTGAAGAGGTGTGGAGTGGTGTGTGGGGTTGGAGGAATACTCCACCCAGCCCCCCTGGGCGCCTAGCCAGAGAATCCCACACCTCAGCAACCTCATCTCTGTCTCCAGGATCCTCATTGTCGACTGGGATGTCCACCACGGCCAGGGCATTCAGTACATCTTTGAGGATGACCCTGGGTGAGCTGGGATTGCATTCCAGGGCTGAGTACAGCCTGCCTGGGAAATCCAAGGGGGCTGTGGCTGAATCTGTAGGTGGCAGAGTTAGGGCTCTGGGGTGCTCTGAGAGGAGGAGTCAACATGGACCCCGGTCTCTGACCCCAGCTGGCTGTCCACAGCGTCCTGTACTTCTCCTGGCACCGCTATGAGCACGGCCACTTTTGGCCCTTCCTTCCAGAGTCAGATGCAGGCATGACTGGCCAGGGCCCGGGCCAGGGCTTCACTGTGAACCTGCCCTGGAACCAGGTGCGGCTCCCCACAGGTGCCCAACTCAGCCTGTGCTTCCCCAGGGCCTCACCCCAAGTCCAGGCCCCAGGGCCCCACCCAGAGTCCACTCCCCTATCCCCCACCCTGTGTCCATTCCCTTGTCCCCCACCCCGAGTCCATGCCCCAGGTCCACAGCCCAGGCTACACCCTTCATTCATTATTCAGGTGAATAGCAAAAGTTCCCATCCCAGGTCCTTAGACCCACCCAGGTCCACACTTCAGGTCCCCTACCCACATACCTACCCTGACCCCATCCTAGTCTGGGCCCCTTGAGCACAGAGCCCTGACCCTCAAGTGAGGGTGTTGTGGGCTCCCGGCCTCAGGTGGGCATGGAAAACGCTGACTATGTGGCCGCCTTCCTGCACGTGCTGCTCCCCCTGGCTTTCGAGGTGACTGTGTTGGGGTGGGGTGGGGTGGCAAGAGGGCTGGGGGGGGGACAGGGCTGGAGGTCCCATTGTGACAGTGCCTTGGGTGGGACACAGCAGCAGGTGTTCAGTGAGCAGTGGTGTCAGGAGGAGACAGGTGGGAACAAGGGCCAGCTCCCTTTGACTCCAGACTCCTTCCTTGCACCCTGCAGTTTGACCCTGAGTTGGTTCTGATCTCTGCTGGCTTTGACTCCGCTATTGGGGACCCTGAGGTGAGAGCCTGGATGGGTGGGAGGCCTCCGGGTCTGGGCACCCAGGCCCTGATGTCCTCGTTTTGTTCCAGGGTCAGATGCGGGCCACGCCAGAGTGCTTCCACCACCTCACACAGCTGCTGGTCCCACTGGCTGGTGGCAGAGTCTGCACGGTGCTGGAGGTACCTGCCGCGAGGACCGCCCTGAGCAGGGGTCAGCAGTGACCGCTTTCGGGCAGGGCATGTCCTGGGGCTGGGGGCTCAGGGAGGGTCCTGAGGGGCTGGGATATATCCCTGATAGGCAGGAAGGGTGCCAGGTCTAGGGGTTCAGGTCAGAGGCAGGAAAATGAAACCTGAAGGAAGTGCAGCTTGGGGTGTGATCAGAGCAGCCCACTGTGGGGGCCTGGATCTCCTAACTTGGGCCCTTACCCGCAGGGTAGATTCCTTGGCGGTGGCCGCTGGCTGGTCCGCCTGGTTGGTGATCACACCCCTGGCCCGGTCATGCCTCACTCACAGCTGTCCCTTTATCTTGTCCTTCTGGGGTGGCTGCCTCTCTGTCATGCCTCCACCTTTCCCCCAGGGTGGATACCACCTGGAATCACTTGCAGAGTCTGTATGCATGACTGTGCGGGCGCTGCTGGGTGACCCTGCTCTGCCGCTGTCAGGGACCATGGTGCCCTGTTGGAGGTGTGAGGGGTTGGGCTGCAGTGTGAGAACAGAGGAGTGGGGCTGGAGGAGGAACAGTAGAAGGGGACCTGGAGAAGGGCCGGAAGGGGGCCTGGAGGAGAGATGAGGAGGAGAGGGTCTCAGAGGGGGAGCCTGGAGGGAGGGCTGCCTTGTGAGGTGTGCCAGAACAGGTGCTGGCCTCACATCCTGGTCCTCCCTACAGTGCCCTGGAGTCCATCCAGAGAGTCCGGGCTGCCCAGGCCCCTCACTGGACGAGCCTCCAGCTCCAGGGTCAGTGTGGTCAGGGTGCGGGAGGAGGGGGACTGAAACCCCCATGCGCTAAGACTCTGAATTACCCACAGACGTGGCCCCCATGCCGAGGCCCCGGGCCTGCTCCTCTGAGGGGAGGCCCCCGCCGACACCCGGGAGCCCTGAGTATGCAGGGGCAGCGGCAGCAGCAGCGGCAGAGGCAGCGGTAGCCTTGAGCTCCTTCTTGGACCGGCTGCGCCTTCATCCCCAGCCCCCAGTCCGCACTGCTATTGTCCTGACCTCAACAGATGATAACCTGGTCCTACCGCCTGGTGTTGTCCAGCAGGAGCGGTCAGCTCAGGGGGAGGAGATGGAGGCCTGGGCCAGGTGGGCAGGGATGGCACAGGGAGGGCCTGACCATGCTGGTGACTGTGCCTGTGTGTGACCAGAATGGTGTGATTATGCGTGTGTCGCTGAGGCCATGTGTCCCTTTCATTTGCCACCACAAGGCCCCGTGTGGCCATGGCCCAGGATGTGTCTCTCACTGTGCTTGGGAAGGTCCTGACCCTGGTGGATGGAATCTTGGATGGGCAGGTGGGTGCATCTGGTGAGGGTCGGGGTGCCCTCGGGGAGGATGACTGGGTGCTGGCCTGGTGGTGTGTATTGCCAGGGCGAAGCATCCACTCTGCCTCCCCGCAGCCACGTGCTCCTTGCTGGGAAGTGAGGACACGTTAGAGTGCCGAGCACCTGGCTTACAGGAAGGGGCTTTTCTCATTTGGAGGAGGACAGGTGATTAGGAGAGATGGGTTCAGTTCATCGTTGGTTTGATGCCTTCTGATTAACCACTTTGGCCCCTTGATTCACAGGTGAGTAACGGCATCGCAGCTACACCTACTTCTGCTGCTGGTGACACCCTGGACATGGCCATCCAGCGTGGCCTGTACCTCGGGGCACAGCGGTGAGTCAGTGATTCAGTAGAGCGTCCAAGTGGGACTGTGGCGGGGGCCGGAGAGGGGAGCTGTGGGCGGGGTCTCTGAGGGTGGACCTTTCAAAGGGCGGAGCCTCTGATGTGAGGGGGGCCTCTGATGTGAGGGGGGCCTTTGATGTGAGGGGGGCCTCTGATGTCAGGTCCTCTGTGGGCGTGGCCTCGGAGGGCAGATTCTCTCACTGGGGAGGAGGGAGTGGGCCTGGCCTCTGAGAATAATAATGTGGGCAGTTCCCAGGCGGGCTCCAAGGGGCCTCATGCTTGCTTGGCTCTTCCACAGGCTTCTCTGTCTGGTTGTCGGACAGCTTGATCGGCCCTCAGACCTCGCCGATGATGGGTATGACGTTGTGTGGGTGGACCTTTGCTGGGCTCTGGAAGGTGAGCAGGGTCTCATGTGTGTTTCCTCATCTGGAAGGAGGATTCTGTGGTTGAACATCGGCAGTCAGAAGGCAGAAGCCTTGTCCATGTTTCATATCTCTGTGCCAAAGCTAAGGGTGAGTGGCAGTTTCCCACAGAGGAACAAACATGGAGACTGTGGTTGTGCACAGCCAGAGTCCACTAGTGTCATCGGGACCAGGCTAGCCCTTGGCTCGTGCTCTGTGACCCTAAGATTCGCAGAGGGATGTCCTCTGAGAGGAGGGGCTTATGCCATCTGTTGTCCCTCCTACAGGCCACTGGGAGCCTGCTGAGCTGTATCTTGGGCTTGGTGCTGCCCCTGGCCTATGGCTTCAAGCCTGACCTGGTGCTGGTGGCACTGGGACCGTCACATGGCCTAGAGGACACCCATGCTGCACTCTTGGCTGCAATGCTTCGGGGGCCATCAGGGGGCAGGATCCTGGCCCTGGTACAGGTAAGGTGTGCAGCGTGGGGCATACTGTTGGGCCGCTGTCAGAGGAGATAGTGACTCCCCGCTACGACTACCCTGAGCCAGGAATCCAGGCCCCAGCTTGCAGAGGCCCTGGCCAGGGTGCTGAGTGGAGAGGCGCCCCCCAGACTCGGCCCCTGTTCCATGACCTCCCTCGAGGACGCGCAGTGCCTGAACCACCTGAGAAGGCAGCTGGCACCCAGGTGGAAGATGCTGCAAGTGGCTGGTGAGAAGCCCACCTGGTGGGCGGGAGCTCCTAGGGTCGGCCTGTGACAATATGGAGTGTGAGCTTCTCTCCAAACGCACCTTTAGTGACCTCACCGGAAAGCCTGAAATCAGTCGAAGGGGAAGGACAAGCACCACGGAGCTGACACTGCAAACCAGCCACCCAGAGCCAGGATCAACTGCGACCTCAGCACCAACAGCCCCTCCCCTTGTTGATTCCCTTGGAGTCGAGCATGACTCATAGCGACCCTATGAACAAAAGGCTCGAAGCCCCTCTACAACATCGACATTTCTCAAAGTTCATAGTTTCTGGAGGCGTGTTGTTTAGGAAGTGGATGACACTCCTGCCCACCTACCCCTAGTTAATAGAATGAACCCCCAGTACCACCAAGGGGACCCGGGTGGACACGAAGGACAGGTAGAACTGCCCCAATGGCTGACTGCTTGGCTTGCTCCCGTGTTTTTTTTATTGGTTTATCAGATCAACTGGCATAGGAGGACACTGCCCTTCCTTCTCCAGAGGGGCATCTGGTGCCTCTGGGGTTGCAGAGCAGCTTCTTCCCATAGGCGACCGGAGCTCGGACAGTGGTGCTTTATTCTCAGCACCTAATAAACTTTAAAACATAGGGACCTCTCTAAAGTACTCAAGAGCAACAGTGTCTCTCTGGAGAGTAAGGTGCGCCTGATACAGGCCATGGTTTTTGCTATCACTTGTTATGCATCAGAGAGCTGGACAATGACCAAGGAGGATAGAAGGAGAATTGATGCCTTTGAGCTGTGGTGCTGGAGAAGAGTATTGAGAATACCATGGACTGCTAGGAAAACAAACAGATTCATCCTGGAAAGGGTTAAACCGGGTGGCTCCTTGGAGGCAAGGATTCTGAGGCTCCGTCTAACATACTTTGGACATGTTGTGAGGAGAGACCAGTCCTTAGAGAGGGACATCATGCTTGGGAGGGTGGAGGGACAGCGCAGGAGAGGAAGGCCCTCTACGAGATGGATTGATTCAGTGACTGGGATAATCGGGATGGGAGTGTCAGAGACAGTGCGATTGGCACAGGACAGAGCGGAGTTTAGGGCTGGTGTACACAGGGTCGCTATGAGTCGCAGGCGACTCCACGTCACGTAACAACAACAATAAACTTTTAAGACAGCGCGGCCCCGCCTCCTTCCTTGGGCCAATCGCGGCTCTCGCGCGCCCAGCCGGAAGTGCATGTGCGCGGGGGCGGGACCCTGGCGACGTCGTCCCTGTGTCGCCCGGTGATGACGCGCAGGCGCGGGAACGCGGGCCCCGAGGGCCCGGGAGCGGGTGGTCTGCGCGGACACCGGGAGACCGTCGTCCCGCGCCTGCGGGGGTCTGCCGGCCGCGTGCTGCCCGCGTGCCAAGGGGCTGCCGAGCTCGTGGACCACCTGGCGGTGCCGAGCCGCCGAGCGAGGGGGAGCGCGCCGGGCCGGCTCTGAGCGCGCGGGCCCGGGATGCTCGTGCTGCGCCGCGGGCCCCGCGTCGGCACCTGCCCGGCGCGCGCTCGCTGCTCCCCGCGCTTCGTGCGGAGCGGGCTGGCACGTGTCCCCGCGCACCCCCAGGGGCCGCAGCCGAGAGCGTCGCCATGGCCAGTATCACGCAGCTGTTCGATGACCTGTGCGAGGCCCACCTGCCGGCCGCCACGCTGCACCTGGGGCAGCGAGGCCTGGACCGGAGGAGGGCGAAGCAGAGCCTCAGGAAGGTGGCCTACGACGTGCTTTTCGCTAACCTCTTCCAAGACGGGGCCCCTCGGCTGCAGCCCGACGCCCCCAGACTCCCGGTGCGAAACAAGATCTACATGCTGTCCTTCAACCTGAGAGTGGGCGGCCTGGGCCCCGAGGCCGGCCGCCTGGAGGACCTCGTGGCAGCGCTGCAGGACGCCCCTGGCTGTCCGCTTGCCGAAGTGTCCTCCGCCCTGGACCTCCTGGTGCAGCTGGCAGGGACGGGTCCCCCGCGGCCACCGCCCCGAAGGTGGGGCAGCCTCAGCAGCAGGGCTGCGGGCAGAAGCCTTGCGTGTAGCGGCTATGACTGCGAGGGCTTGAGGGGCCTCGAGATGGACGTGAGGGCCCAGATCCTCAGAGAGGAGGCTCTGTGCCAGGACACGGTTCAGAAGATGCTGCAGGTGATGGAGGCCGCGCCGGGCACCGGCCTGCCCACCCTTGGTCGCTTCTCACCCCGTGACTCCTGTGACAAGTTTGACAGACACACCCAGGCCTCGCTGTTTGGCGCCCTTGTGCACAGCCGCACGTTGGACATGGATGTCCGGCTGGATCTGCCCCCAGTACCAGACAGCGCAGACCTGCTGGGACTTGCCATCAAAGTACGGGACTTTCCCGAGTGGTTCCTGGTAAAGGGGGGGACAGGCGACACCCCCCGTCCCCAGGGTACTGCAGTGTTGGAGGAGTGGCTGTGGTGGGCGCCCAGCCCGAAGCTTCATGCAGACAGAGCCGTGAAGTCACTTGTTCTGCACGGGGAGCTGCTGGTTACGTGTTAAACAGCTGCGGTTCCTCTGTCACCCTGGGGGCTCCGTGTATCACGTCTTGGGCTGTTAACCCAAGAAGCAGCGGCTTGCACCCACCTGCCGCTCCTGCCGAGGATGAGGATGGGGCAGTCTGCTCCCTGGGACAGCCCTCGGGGTCCTGCCAGAGGGTCGCTGTGAGCCGGCCTCGAGGCCAGGCCGTGGGTTCTGGGTCTCACGTCAGTCCCACAGCCGCATTTCGGTGGCCACGTGGCCAGAGCATCGGGTCATGCTGTCCTCCCATCCCCCCAACATCAGCTCTACTGGTGTTATTTTCAGTGAAAGTTTGTTTACAAAGCAGCTTGGTACACATTCATACACATTGATTGCAGCCCCTACAGTGTAACCACACTCCTCCCGCTTTGTCCCTGCGATTTGGCATCTTGTTGGTTGGTCTTAAGGACTGAGCTTCCCCACTGCTGGTCGCCTTACAGACCTCTCACTTGGAAAGTTGACCTGGGAGGAGTGTGTTCCAAGGTCAAAGGGGAACTAGGGAGTGTAGTCTGCGGTCTCAGCAGACCAGGAAGCCAGTTCTCTTTTATGTCTCTCAATTCTAAGTCAGTCATGGCCTGCCTTTGTCTTTTCGGACTTTTAAAAATCTCTGGGAGGACATGCTCATTCCTTGTTACTGGCTGTGCGGTTGCTCCCCAGCATAAGTAAATTACACAGTGGACGTTTGGTCCGCACACTTGGTTTTTGCTTAGTTTTAGATTGCCCAAACTCAAATTTCTAAGTCAGGAATTTTCCAAGTTTTTAAATTTTTTAAAAATTATTGATTTTAATGAAAGTTTATAGAGACTTTGGATTTCCATTCATTCACTGTTGAAGTTTTCTCCAAGCCCAACCTACCCCCCCCCAATTCGCTCTTCTCTTTGAAAAGTAAAATTCATTCATTGTTATACAATCCCTCCCCCCAAGTCCACTCCACTATGTAGCCTTCGTTCTGGATTTCTGTCATGACAATAATACCTAATCATATATCCCTTCTAAACAGTTCTCTCCCTCATCTGTTTCAATGCAGTGTACGTAATTTATCCCATCTTTCTCAGTGTCCCCCCAACACCAATGTCAGTCCCATTTTACAGCAGTGGCACCATGCAGTATTTGTCCTTTTGTGACTGAGATATTTCACTCAGCATAATGTCCTCCAGGGTCACCCATTTTGAATAATATTGCATGAGTTCCTTGTTTTTCAATGCAGCATAGTATTCCATTGAGTGAATATACCAGAGCTTCTCTATCCATTTGTTTGTTGATGGGCACTTAGGTTGTTTCCAGCTCCTTGCTATTGTGAACAAAGCCGTGATATACATGGTTTTGCACATATCTGGTTGGGTGGTAGGTAGTTAAGGTTTCTTTGGGGTATATTCCCAGTAGTGGAATTGCTGGGTCAATTTCCAACTTTTTGAGAAAGCGCCATACCTCCTTCCACAGTGGTTGCACCATTTTACACTCCCACCAACAGTAAATAAGGGTTCCACTTTCTCCACAACCTTGCCAGCATTTGTTGTTTGCAGAAATTTCTTAAGTTGTTAGAAATCACATGGTGGTTCAGGTGTTAGATGAAAACTGGGCATCAATACCTTGGAGACATTGTCTTGTTCTGTCTGATTCTGTAGGCATACAGAATCCTCTCGGGTCTGGAGGAGGCAGCATGTTTGGGGGTTCCCGACAGGAGGAAATGGAGAGGTATGAAGGCATTTCTGGTTTTGATCAGTCTTTGGGGTGTCCTTGTCTGCAGGTTCCTCAGAGCATAGATCAGTCAGAAGATGAGGGGTTCCAGTCAGCATCTAACTTGACTCCTGACTCCCAGTCTGAACCAAGCGTAACCCCGGACCTGGACCTGTGGGAGGCGGCACTCACCTACGAGGCCAGCAAGCGGCGGTGCTGGGAGAGAATTGGGTGGTGAGTGAGACCCTGGGGCACACTGCCTGCTAGCTGCAGGGCGGCTTTTAGAAGTCTTGTGATAGAAATAGAAACCTTGAAATGCCGAGCTCGCTAATTTCTAGATGTAGAAGTACTGAGACTTTGAGGGAGACTGTTGTTTGATGCCGTCAAGTCGTAGACGACTCATAGTGACCCTGTGAATGAACAGCCTGAGCACTGTTCATACATAGAGTTTCCGGAGGCAAGCCATTTCGGAAGTGGATGCCGCTCCTGCTTCCAGGCTTGAGTTAGTCGGGAAGCTCCAGCCAACACTGTCCACCATGGGTTCCCGTTACCACGATTGGCACATCACTGTCACACGCTTCAGCATCACAGCAACCACGAGTTACCTCTGTACAGCAACGCACAGACCAGTGCTGTACCACCTAGAACGAATGTTTGACAGGAAGACAATTTGAACCTGGCCGAGGGCCACAGATGACAATCACCCACCTTTGCCTTGGTAGCACAGCTTCCTTCCACTAGGCCACGTAGCTCTTTGAGGGAGACTAGTGGAAGGGAATTTGCAGGCTTTGGGGAGCCAGCCAGTTGTGCTGCCTGGCTTATGGTGGACATGCTCTGAAGGGCTCCCAGTGCTGGTCTTTCAGAAGGAGGTCCTTCCTTCTGAGGTGCTGCTGGCAAGTTTGCCTCTGACCTTCTGCTTGGCACCTTCACTGTCTGTGCCTTGGGACTCCAGCGACTGGGCATCACACCAGATAGTGGCTGGACTGCTGCCCAGCAGCTTCCTGACTCGAGGGTGCAGGCAGCAGGGACAGGAAGACTGGCCAGTGCCGTTGTCTGGCCTCCCTCTGGCCGTGGCCGGTGAGTGAGAGTGATGGGATTTTCTTGCTGTCCACCGTTCCCGCCCTGCAGGATGTGGAGGAGTGCACTGTGGTGAGAGGGCCCGGGCACAGCAGTGACTTCAGGGTGGAGGCGGTGCTTGGCTCTGCCCTCTCGGCCCACCCCCCATGTACTGGCATCTAGAGGGGAAAGTGTGGCCTCATCAGTCTGCAGATGGACTGAGCAGGAGCCGACGTCCCCATCCTGCTTTAGCCGCTCCCGAGGTGCCCAGGTGCTGGGCACTGCTCTGCCGGGTGACTTTGTGCATAGGGTCCCCTCCCCTGAGCCCCTCACAAAGTAGTGCTGGTGCCCTGTTAAGCCCACTGCTGGTCTAGCGCCCGTCTTGAGTGCATGGAGGAGGACCATGAACCACCCTGCCTGCTGGTATCCATTGTCCCTTGGTAAACTGATCCCAGCCTGCTGCTCTCTTGTGTTTTAATGTTGGGTGAAAACATGTAAAACACTTGCCCGCTCTGTAGTTCTGCAGGGACAGTTCAGTGATGTCAGTAATTCCTGTCCTGCTGGAGGCCATTGTCACTGTCCTTTGCAGCGTGACCTTGGTGGCCTGCGCAGTGACTCTGCTTTGCTCTCCCTCCCACCTGCGCTGGCCCTGCAGTTCTGGGCCCCTGCAGTTGTGTCACACGTGTGTGCGATTCTTTGTTCATCCCGGTCCTGCTGTTGGCACCTCACTGCTTTGTACAGCTGAGTTGCAGCCGTCTGCAGACTTGATTGTCTACCCTTCTCCTGCTGATGGACGTGAAAAGTCCACAGTGGGCTGGTGTGCTGCACTGTGGGCCTTGACCAGGGAATCCTAGTCATGTCGCTGCTCTTTGGTCAGCTTCTGGGGAACCACCAAACTGCCCTTCACAGTGTGTAGACTGTTTTACATTCCCCAAGTGCTGGAAAAGGGCTTTGGCTTCTCCACCTTGTTTTGTTTTTCTGACCATAGTCATCCCAGGGGTAAGTGTGCACAGTGCTTGCTGGGAGGGCGCTCCTCTAGGTTACTTTCTTGGGCCGAGTCAAGGTGTCTCTGCCGCTCAGACCTTGGACATGTGGCCTGGCTCTGTCTGCAGCTGTCCTGGGGATCAGGGAAGCCGAGGCTGGTACTGACAGGCGGCTGGGGCGTGCTCACCACTGCCTGCCATTTCTCGGACAGACTTCGTGTCAGCTCCTGTCTCTGTGGCCTGTGTCCTCTTCAGGAGACTGCACGTGGACCCAGGGCACCCTTTGCTCACCTCTGCCCATCTCCCCACAGGCCTCCTGGCCACAGAGAGGCCCCTTACCTCACTGAGGCAGGAAGAGACGCCTTCGACAGGTTCTGCAGACTCTGTGAGGAGGGACTGCAGGTGCTCGGGGGGAGCCACTTCACAGCCCCACAGCGCATCCTGGTGCAGGAGCAAGAGCTGGTGAAGGACACGCTGAATGTGCTCATTGGAGTCGTGTCTGCCACCTTCTCCCTCTGTCAGGTGAGGCCTGCCTCGAGCTGGGCCCTGGTCCAGGCTGGGGTGTGTTGAGCTCCCTGTGAGGGCCTGACTGCCTCACCCGCAGTGGGGTCTGGCCAGGCCCTGGAGACCTGCCGGAACACGCCTCAGCTGGCCGCAGGCAGTCTCGGGAGTCGGCCAGGATCATTTTATTGTGATTTTAGAACTTACTGATGTAACAAGTTTTTAAGAACAAGATGTGACCTATCAGTGTCCCTGTGACAACCAAGCTGCCGGCTCCCTCTGGGTCCTGATGGACTCAGAACTGCTGTGGTGCCTCATGGTCCCCGGCGCTGCCTCTGCCCTCACATCCCCCAGGCATCCCACTCGCCACGGGGGGGCGGGAGAGCCACACCGCCCACTGCCCTGCGCTTTGGCTCTGCTGGGTTTTAGGGTCCCTCACAGTGGCCTCTCTCGGATCAAGTGTGCACAGCCATACCAGGCAGTCCCTGTACGAGACCAGTGCTGCCCTGTCCGGTGCTGCCCTCAGGTGTCTCCATCCTCCCGACCGTTAGGGAGTGGCTGAGGCCTGTCTGTTCTCTAGTGTCCCAGAAAGGGACAGCATGCACTTATCAACCTTTACCCCACCCCCCTGCTGCCTGTACAGCAGGCCATCCCCCTCTCCCCATTCCTCCTACCCATGTCCCCGGCCTGGACGTCAGACCTCACCCAGCTAGGGTCCCTGCCCTTGCTGTCTGTCTCCACCATGTTACGTCCATCGTTGGCATGGAATTTAAATACTCGTCCTTACGGGTGGTCTGTGAAAAATGTTCATTTTTTTTCCCTGCCTGTTTGTGTGGTTTCCGGCCCCGGCTTTTGTGTTGTGTCCTCAGGATCCAAGCCCTGTGACTATCCTGGGCTGACCCCGACCCCATCTTTTGCTGCAGCCGGCACAGGCCTTCGTGGTGAGGCCAGGCGTGTACGTGTCAGGGGCATCTCCTGAGAGCATGCACAGCCTCCTCTCTGAGTTGGCCGCGTGTGGGACCTACTACATACGCCTGAGCCACTTCTCTCTGCAGCCAGTGCTGGACATCTCCTGCAGCAAGGGCCTTGTGTTTCAGGTACAAACCTGTCCCCATCAGGACCCCTGTGAGCCCCTACACTCGAGGGCACATTGAGAGCCCAGGTCCAGATGATCTGTGTCCTTGGGACATGGAAGGTGGGCCAGTTGAGGTATGGCCCCGTGCTGTGTCACCTGGGCCAGGCTGGTCAAGGCACTGAACTTAGAGACAGGACCAGGTGTGGGTGAGCACTGGGCCCGGTCCCGGCATTCCTGGGAACCTCTGCCGGCTGAGATTCAGTCCTTCTAAAGGACTTGACCATGAAGAATGGGACCTCAGGGCTAAGGGCAGGGCCTGGCCCAGCTGCCAGTCTCTTTGATCCTTGTCCACAGGCTTTCACCAGTGGTGTGAGGCGTTACCTGCAGTATTACCGGGCCTGCGTGCTCTGCACCCCACCCACCCTCAGCCTCCTGACCATCGGCTTTCTCTTCAAGAAGCTAGGTCGTCAGCTAAGGTGAGTCGTGCTGGCCCTGGGCTGAGAGGTGGTGGTGAGGAGGAAGGTGGTGTGTGTGTGGGTTCAGGAAGGTGTGGTGGGCCTGGAGGGAGGCCGTGCAGCTGGGAGGGAGACAGGTGCTGGTACGGCGAGGGGGGGCAGCGGTGAGGTCTGAAGGAGGTGGGGGTGTGTGTGAGGTACGGGAGGGCGGTGGTTGCGGAAGAGAGAAGGGGTCAGAAGGGGGCACCTGCTCTGCTGTGATGAGGTGAGGGGAGGTGGACCCGTAAGCAGCGGGGGAGGTGATGAGATGGTGTTGAAGTAGGGAAGGTGGGAGGAGGGGACGGCAGGTGGGTGGGCGCTGGAGGACCCTGGGCACCTGCTCAGTGGTCTTCTGGCTCTTACCTCCAGATACTTGGCTGAGCTCTGTGGTGTGGGTGCTGCTGGTGGAGGGCCCAGGGCTGACTTCCCCACTGTGAGTCTGCTTGGAGGGAGGGGCCTTCTCCTCACCCATTTGTGGTTCTGGGGAGGAGCTGGGTGGGGGGAGGTAAGGGGGATGGGGGGAGGCAAGGGCGGAGTGGGGGGAGGTGAGGGCGGAGTGGGGGGAGGTGAGGGCAGGGTTGGGGGAGTTGAGGAGGGGGGGGGGAAGTGAGGGGCTGGGTGGTGGGAGGTGAGGGCCAGGTGAGGGTAAGGGAGAGGCGGGGGCGGGGCGAGGGAAGGTGAGGAGGGGGGAGGTAAGGGCAGGGTCAGGGAGGTGGGGACTGGGCTGCTGCACCCTGCTGAGTTGGGCCTGCGTGCTGCACCGTAGGGCGTGAAGCTGCTCTCATACCTGTACCAGGAGACCTTGGACAACTGCAGCAATGAGCACTACCCGGTCCTGCTGTCCCTGCTCAAGACCAGCTGTGAGCCCTACACACGGTCAGGCTGCTGGGACAGGGGTGGACCTCGTGGGTGTGACCAGTGTGGGGGGGTTTGTCGGTGGGACTGTGGGTGGCGTCTTGGGCCCTGTGGGTGTGGTCAGGGGCCTGTGGGCCCCACTCCTCAGGAAGGTCGGCCTGGTCAGCTGCACACTCCATGGTTTGCCAGCTTCGTCCTGGGACTTGGCTGTAATGGCTCCAGCGGGGAGACAGGCACTACTTACAGGGAGCTCCTTGGGTGGGTTCTTCTGGGCCTAATGCCTACGCAGAGGTGCCCGTGGGTCACCCTCCAGGAAAGGAGCCCAGTGGTCACGGGCCGCCCTGAAGGCCGCTCAGAAGCCATTCACGCCAGTTCGTGCTGTCCTGGATGTTGCCGTGGGCTGTGGCTGCGGGACCCGGATGCTGCTGTGGCACATGGAGTGTGACGTACGACGTGTGGCATCAGATGCCGGACGCGCCACACGCGGCATCCTGTGTGTGGCATATGATGCGTGACGTGTGGTGTGTGTGGTATGACGTGTGACACACGGCCTGCGGTGCAGACTTTTCCTGTCTTTAGACATTTTCAGCAGGAGATTGGCTAGCTACTGGCTAATCCTAGAGCTGCTTTGATTAAGAAGAGTTGAGTGTGGCCTCTGGGAGGAGGGAAGCGCCTGCAGCCCCTCCAGTGTCTTGTGCAGTTAGGCATTGTGGGGTTAGGACGTTGTAAGGGCTGTGTGGGAGCGGGGCCATGGGACTGGAGTCGGTGACCAGACCTCGCTCTGGCAACTGCCCACAGCTTTATCCATGACTGGGTGTACAGCGGGGTCTTCAGGGATGCACACGGCGAGTTCATGATCCAGGTGAATGATGACTACCTCAGCTTCAGAGGTGAGTGGGCAGTGGCTGCTAGGCACCCATCGCTGTGTCCTGAGCACAGGCCCCACTGCAGTGTGCACACCGTTTGTCCCCCCAGATAAGTTTTACTGGACCCATGGCTATGTGCTCATCTCTGGAGAGGTGGAGGACTGTGTCCCCGTGTTCTTGAAGCACATTGCTAACGACGTGTATGTGTGCGGGAAGACCATCAACCTGCTGAAGCTCTGCTGTCCCCGGGTGAGGGCTGTGTGAATGCAGGAGTGTGCGAGCTGCGTGTGCACGTACGAGCGGTGTGTGTGTGGGAGTGTGCGAGCCGCGTGTGCAGAGCGTTTGTGCTGTGAGTGTGCACGTCTGTCTGTGAGTGGTGTGGTGTGCACAGAGTGCATGTGTCTGTGTGTGTTGTGTCAGGGCCTTGGCGGCCAGTGTCCCCTCTTCCCACTGCGGGTAAACACTCAAGGGTGACAGTCCCCTAAGTTCTTACTGTGGGCTGTGGAGCTCTGGCTGATGCCCTCTCCCGGCAAGGTAGATGGACAGCCTCCCATGGCAGAGTGTTGGGGTGCAGAAACCTGGGGTGCCCTGCTCCTCAGCGACACTCCTTGGGCCCACTCTTTCCTCCTGGGGCTCACGAGCGTTCTCTTGGCAGCATTACCTGTACTGGTCAGACGTCCCTGTTCCTCGGATCTCTGTCATCTTCTCCCTGGAGGAACTGAAGGGGATTGAGAAGGACTGTGCCGTGTATGTGGGGCGGATGGAGAGAGTGGCCCGCTACAGCTCCGTCAGCAAAGAGGAGAAGGTGCGGGTGCAGGGAGAGGCAAGGGAGCCCTTCTGGGGAGTAGGTGGGAGGCCTTGGGGGGGCTGGGTGCGATGGATCACAGACTTTGACAGTGTGGACAAGTGTGCTCTGTGAGCCCTCCTGGCCCTGAGATGGGGTGGGAACAGGGCAGGGTATTCAAGACCAAAGGGTGGTGTGTGGGGGCTTGGAGCATCTTGTGTGCTCCAGGTCGAGTGAGTAGAAAGTATGGAGTGTAGGGGCACAGGATGTAGGATGAGATGCAGGTGAGAGGAAAGATGGCGAGGTGTGGTGGATGGGCTGCAGGGCAGGAAGAGGGGTGCAGAGCGTGGTGGGTGGGGGTGCGGGGTGTGGTGGATGGGGTGTGGATGGGAGGAGGGGTGCGGGGTGTGGTGGGTGGGGTGCAGATAGGATTGCGGGGTGCGGACGGGAGGAGGGGTGCAGAGCGTGGTGGGCGGGGTGCAGGGCAGGAAGAGGGGTGCAGAGCGTGGTGGGTGGGGGTGCGGGGTGTGGTGGATGGGGTGTGGATGGG